AAAGAAACAGGCTTAATGAAACTAGAAGCAGTAGATCCAATGTTAATAATTGGGTGTGGTATACTATGCTTTTATGTAAAAATTTATAAAGATTCAATGAATTGTTTTTATTTGCTAATAAAAAGTAAACACGATAAAACTACGAGCATTCATAATTCTTTGAAAGAATAATTCAATTCTGAATAAGGTTATATGATTCTTTGAGAGGTTTCCATCCATTATTTTGTTTTCTCTTCTCTTTTGAATTCCATCATGCATATATTCATACTGATGAAAATATTACTTGTAGGATTATAGCCAAATATGGTGGGAACCAGGACGTTGGCTGCTTCTCAGTCTTTAGTGGGGTCTACAGTTGGTGGGTCAAACTAGCAGTTTGGGTAGCTACTGATGCTTTCTGATCCCTCTATGGATATGAATGTCTCTAAGACATGGTCAATGGAATTGAAACTGTAACAGAGATCTATTTCAGGGGCCCTCAGTCAAACCCACAGGAAAAGAAACTGTTTCCATGTCTTTTGGGGACACCATGTTGTCCTTTATCTTCTTTAAAATGGCCCTCCACTATCTTGGGATTCAAGAGGGTTTCACAAGCTTCTATCTACCTCTGATAGATCCTATAGGTACTTAGTGGATAGTTCCCAAATCATTTTTCCTCTGAGAATTATGAGCAGGGCACCTCTTCTTACACCGTCATGATGACACCTTGTTGTTTAGTTTTTCTTATCCTGCTTTTGAGTAAGGTAGAATTTTTGGTTACAGCTCAATATATCTGCATGTAGCACAACTAAACATCTATGTAGAATTTACATGTTGGTTAATTTCCCTTAATCTGAGTAACACCCAATCACTAAATTACCACTTCATTTTTAATTCACATCATGATCTATTTCAGGACTCATTCTGCTAGCACAAAATGACCATGCTGAATGCAACCATCACTGATCAGCAAAGACTTTATTCAGCAATGGAGTCATGTATCTGACAGACCCACCTTCCAGATAGAAAATAAGACACTGGCCGAAGGTGGAATCTGAGTTTACACATGTAACATTAGAGATGACATAATTATTGGCAAAACATGTCAGTTTGAGCCCTCAGGAAAAAGGTTTGTGAGAA